CAGCAGAACACAGCCCAGGTGTCAGCCAAGGAAGGCACCGCTTCTCTGCAGCTGATCTGATAACACATTCCTGGGAAGCGTTCACTGGGCAATTATGTCAAAACAAGAACCCGCCTGTGAGAACTCCCACGGTACAAGACAGTAAGCAAGCAGGAGAGGAATGTGATGAGAAACAGTTACATTCCTGCAAGCACGCTCGGCCTTCACATCCCAGCTGGCAAGATGCAAAACCCAAAGATGCTCTCAAAGGTTTTCAAAGGCATATTCCAGAAAAAGGGGAGAGCATATGCAAAGGAGAGGGCATGCACCTGGGAGCCTCTGCTACAGACTGAAGAGACCATTCCGAAGCACAGCTTTCTTACAGCGATGCTTTGTGTAGGTGTGAGGAAGGCTCAGATCCCTGATGGCATAAACAGCAACCGGAGAAACACCAGAGCTTAGAAGCAAACAGTGCTTCTGAAGGATGGTAGGCAGTTTTGCTTTACTGCAAGGCATTTTTGCCAGGCCCTGTATCTGAGCTGGTTCCAGGTGCCACACTCCATGCACAGCAAACCGGCCTACCTTTCCCCTCTGCCAAGGGAGAAAAATGCACACAGAAGAAAACATTTGTTCCCACTTTCTAAGTATGGTGGATCCTTGGGCTGTAGGACAGCTGCAGATGGGGCACATTGTTCTCCACAAGGAAGGCCAAGCCGCCTACAAGCTGCTGCTGAAATTCAAAGGTGCTTTTTGGTGTCAACAGCCAGATGAGCAGAACCAGCATGAAAACACGTATTTTTTATTTCTCTATTGTTATGCCAAGAGATTTCATCATGTAGAGAAGACTTAAGTGATTCAATAAGAGTTACAGCAATATCTCCTAAGCCGAGGCACATGTCAGCCTGACACACAGCCTGTAAGCAGCTCATCAGTTACGCAACATACAAGAGCAATGATGACGAACCAACATTTTCTATTATTTACTCTGAAAGCTAAGGAGAAACAAAAGCAACACGCTAGCTCAACCAGCAAAACTCTGTCAGGAAATGAGAACCACATCTCAAATCATGACTCAGTGTGGTTTGAAATACTCAGCAGGCAAGTAGGATGTGCAAGGGGCCACTCAAACCACAATCAGCAGTGCTGATCATATTCACACACAATGCAGGCCTTCTGCCTTATCGAGGTTCCCACGACTTGTTACTGCTGCAGAAATCAGATTCTTGCTTCCAGAAATGTGACTTTCCTTACAGGCAGCTGCTGTGCCAGCTCTTAGTTTTTTATGGATCTTTTTGAAATATTGGTGTGTTTTCCAGTCAGAATTTGTATCAAGCACTGTGCTATTTCAACATTATACAGAGGAGTCCCCTTAACTAAAACAGAATCAGATTTGCCTCCACTTACAAACTTTAACAAGCCAGAGAAATCTGAATTTGTATTTCTGGGTTTCTAGGAGAACCTCCTACCAATTTTATCCCTCCCTCCTCTTCAAAAAAGCCTTAGGAAGGAAAGCATTACCAGAACATTTCAAACGCTAAAATTTCTAGGTTTTTTGCCACTCAATGCAGTAATGTTGCTATCAATTGTTCCATAAGGATTTCAAGATTTATTCTTCACTAGCTTAGAAAACAGCCATTTCACTGAATCATAACTAAGGTTGAACTGCATCATCTCCGCTCAAAGCAAAGTCAACCCCAGCAGGATGCTTGGGACACCATCCAGTCGGGTTCTGAGCATCCCTAAGGATGGAGACTCCAAAACCTCTCAGGGCAATAGGCTCAAGTGTCTGACCACTTCAACAGAGAGAAGTTTAAAACCAGTCATTAGCATTCAGACCTACCTACACTCACAGTTACAGCACCCGAATGCTGCTCAGAGCGCTCCGTCAAACGGACGCTCATTGAGACACTGCCCACAAACCTTGCACCCGGAGCACAGTCCCAGCTCCTACCACCATCAGGTAGAACATTCTGGAACTGTGATTGAGAAGGCGAGCTGCTCTTCCCTTGTGAAATGCAACCACCCAAGCATGTGCGTCCACTGGCCAAAGACACAACTTTGCTACGGCAGAATTAGTGAATGAAGTTTTTGCTTTTTCAGCTAAAGTTACTTCTACCAACTTAGACAAATGCAGATTTCACCCCACAGTGACAAAAACATACAGACAAAAGCAGGTGGCACAACTGGATACGTATAGTTTCTCTTTGAGAGACTAAAACTAGCTACATGCAGTCAGGTCCTACACAAAACAGATGTGAAAAATGTCCATGCTCCCCTCCATTTCTACCCCCAAGCCCAAGAACAACTGCAAGCTTGTTGTTTCAAGCAGAGCCCAGCACTGGCTACAGAAGCCTTGCTTAGCAACAACAGAGCCAATTCAGGCTTCAAGTTTACAAACCTCAGGCATAACCTGTAAACATAAGCTGTGTAACAGGAGAAACGCACATTCAATTTTTTTTCTTTTTAAAGGAAATTGTGAAATTTGAAGAGTAGACAGAAAATGTGTCCACAGCAGGCAGCACCAGTTCATATCTGACTGCGTGTCTTTTCATGCAAGCTGAGCAACAAAGTTGCTTTACACAAACCTGGATGTCTGGAGGAGGAAAAACCATGGAAAATGAACCTTTCTCTGCCATTAATACAATACATCAAGCCAAAATGTGGGCCTTGTAGCTTCCTGAATTTCTTATAAAAGATGACTTAACGAAAAGCTGCTAAGCCCCCACACTGTTCTTTTGCATGCTATTCTACCATAGTTTGATTCTGTACCGAGCCAGTACTGCAACATCAGTAATTTGGATTACAGCACGACTCTGCTCCAGACAGCCTCCGTGAGAGCCCCAGGCCAGGCACAGCCTGCAGGGGCAACGCTAGCAATGGGCAGGCCTGTGAAAGGCAAAGCACTTTAAGCATACAAACCCTGCAATCTGCGTGCATGCCTGTATTTTATTTCCCGTTATTATTTTGAAGAAGAATAAAAATTAGTTGATTAATTGAAAGGAGACTTGGTAAATCACTTCCCCCCACCCTCAGGATCCGACACCCAAGGCAAGCCTCAATGGAAGATGAGCTCACGATTGCTCAGAGAGAGGATCAACCCCCACGCATTCAGCAGCATTTTCTGCAGGGAAGCTGGCCTGCGTGCAAAAGTACCCAGTGAAAAGCACGAACAAATCTTCCAATTCTTAAAAAAAAAAAAAAAAAAAAAAAAAAAAGCCCCCAAACCCACCAACTCACCAAGAACGCTGCAGGCTCCCGCATCTATTCAGGTTTCTTATGTTGCAGCCCACAAAAAAGCCCTGCAAATTCAAAACTTCCTTTGCTAAAAATAGAAATTCCCCGCACAGAGCTGGTTCAAAAACCCAAATGAAACAGATGTGCTGATTTTCGCGGCCATTCAAGTACATTAAACCTTGAAGCACCTCACTATTCTGGTTGAGAGAAAAAAAAAACACCCGAAAGGTGCTCTCACATTGTTACACACATTTTAGCTGGCCCTTGGAAAAGAGCATGCATTAACAGTAGTGATGGGCACAGTTCCTATCAAGCCATGAGAACTTCTCACGCTTGTGAAGCGTAATTTTGCTACGGATGCCTGATGAAATATAGAACCTCTGCACCCAAATCACAGAAAAGATGCAAAGAAACCAGCATAGTGATGTTAGGCGTTTTGCTACCTACTGCCCTATTGATTCTGAGAAACAATACACTGCAGCTGCATTAAAACCCACGGAAACACAATCCCAAGCGCAACACTGGCATGCTGTTTTCACTTTCCTACAATTAATACCTAAGTACCTTATGTAACCTGCTGCAGTCGGAAGTAAAAAGGCTCCCTTGTACATGTCACACTGATGCGATGCAGGCGCCCTGTCTACCATCAGCCACCATAAAACTTACCCGAATCCCACAGTCTTTCAGGGCTTTCAAGACTGTCTACTTTACTCTGCTGAGCGCAGAGGGGAGGACTCTCATTTCACGCCAGAACAGAACGTTTTCACCATTTTGCCTCCATATTTATCTAGATTGCAGATTACCAAACCAGCTAACACAGCCAAGACTGGCCAGGTTTTGTTTTTGAAAATCACACCGCGTAAGATTCTAGAGTTGCTGATTTCCTGTTAAAGGAAGTAACAGTTCTGGCAAAAGAATCCCCAAGGCAAAACGTTCAGTGTTCCAATGTGCAAGCTCTAACAGCCTTTGTTCTTCCCTTTGCTACATTCATTACTGCTTCCTTGCCTCTCCCTCTCTCCCTCTGACTCCTCCAGCTTTCTCTACAAGATGCGAATGCCAGCTCACATCTAAGAACACATGTATTTTTCAGATGAGAAAAAAAAAAGAATCCCATCCACTACCCACTGCTCTGAGTTAAAAGTGGCCATCGCTCAGGAGCCAAATCACCGCTTGTCTGCTTTCCTATTCTTATTTCATTACTGCACAAAATTATAATTCATGCAAATAATAATCCACTGGAGCTCCATCAGACCTCTGAAACGCATCTCTCCTCTTGGCTGCGGCACAATTCTCCCCGGGTTACAGCAGCCTAAGCAACACCATCCTTATTCTGCACGTTTTCCTACGTAGGATACATTAAGCACAGGTTTAAGACAGAAGACCTGAATTCAGAAACAAACGTCGGGTTACTCACATACGGCCAAACAAGCCACCTTTGCCCAACCAGACAGCAAATTCTGGACGGTCACTGCTGTAACACAGCTCCAACAGTTCGCTGCCATGTGGTCCGCAATTTACGATTGCCACTCAGAGGCCTATCCTTTATCGCAGCATTGCGAAAAAGCGTGCATCTGGGTGCGAGATATCGAAACGGCCGTGTTCAGAGCAGGTATCAGCACGCCTTTACAAACAATAGCCTTAATCCTATTAAACCTGGTTCATAGCAATTCTTCACCAACACGCTTAGACGCCGCCGTCGCTCTCGCTAACGTGCCAAGCGTGCCGCCAGGAGCCGGGTTTGCCTTCCACGCACACACACCACTGTCACACTCACACACCCACCTCACCTTTGTGAACCTTGACCTCTGGGAGGCTTTTCTGCCAGCGCTCAGTTACTGCCTCAGATGGATCACCTCTGCGAATACGAAAGAGTTAAAGGCAGCCCCAGTCAATAGGCCTACAAGGAGGAAAAGAAAAAAGGAGAAATGAGTACGCCTTGCAGCATCTTTGCAATGCTTCACACACGATTCCACAACAACATCGCTTGCTTTTGGCCTTTCAGACCCCCTCCCCAACATCCCCTCTAGAAGAAAACCACACGACAGTGCCCTGCAAATAACACGGCATGCAAAGCAGCATTCTTCAGTCGCAAGCACGGCTACAATTACAAATCATTCCATCCGTTTTATTCGGTTCAGTTTTAAAACAGACTGCACAACCAGTGTCCCACCCTTGCAAAGCAAAACTATTTTAACAAGGGCCGTAAATCTCAAGCTCTCGCCCCTTCCTTAAGCATAAAAAAAGGCAGAAAAAGCCCAAGCCGTCTCAGCCACTGCAAATATGTACATTTACAGACAGAACCCTTTAGGACTACATAGCCACATACCAGTGCTGTGTGTCTAAGTGTGCATTCACATACTGTTTGGGGACGGTATCTTTCTGCAAGCTCCTCTGCTTTTGGCTGCCATGGAGGGAGGAAGCTATCCCACTGTAGCAGCTCACTGACTGCATTGTGTTCGGGAGCCGATCTGCCTCAAACCAGTTCCAGCCGGTTCTGGTCACCCTACATAAAAGCTACGGCAACCCCGCCGGAGCTGCCAACGCGTCCCCGTCAGGCGCGGAGCTCCGCTCGCCTTCGCGGGGCCGCCGAGCCCCGACCCCGTCCGGCCGCCCCTCGCTCCGTGCCCCCCGCCTCCCCGCCGCCCTCCCCCCACTTACCTCCCACCACCTGGCCGAAAGCCGTCCGCGTGCCCGGCCGCGGCTAACAAAGGCAGGGCGATGGGCAGGCTCGCGGGACGTCTGGGGCAGGCTCGGCCGCAGCGCGGCCG